TTTGACTTGCTAACGTTTCAATAAATCAATTTAGAACGCCAAATATATTACAGTAGTCAAAGTGAGTTGAGAATTAATAAGTGTAGTTTTCACACTTATTCAAGATCCTAAATCATGATGTTTTATTATTTTTTAGATAAAATTTTACCTAATTTATATTATATTATATTTTGTAGGTAAAACTTTATATTTAATAAAGAATTGAAGAAAAAAATGTAAAAGTGCCGAAAAATAGCAACATCCAAATATGAAACCTTGTACAAAAATAATATATTAAATGGGTCCCAATGGATTTGAATTGAAAATTTTAATTGGACATCAATGTGGCTGAAATATATAAATACAGGAACAGAGAAGAAATGGGAGGAAAAAGAAAACAAGAAGACGGCTACCGACGAGACAGAAACAGAAAAAGAAAAAACGAAAGAGAAACACGGGCAAAGAAAAAGAGAAAAAAAGAAGGGAGAGAAAAAACGGCAGAGAAAGAGGGGAAAAAAGGAGATAGAAAAGAAAGAGTGGCTGGGAAGAGAGAAGATGAGAGGAAAAAAAAGACAGATAAGAAAGAAAAACGGCGGATAAAAAAAAAGGGAAGTTTTTCATTGAAGTGAAAGTTGGTGGTTGCAAACACGGAGTCAAATATACACACGCACCTGACACACGGAGCTTGAAGAAAGAAGACGGCAGAAATATAAATATCACGTTTCGTCAATTTTTGGTGATATCGTTTCACTTTTACGTATTTTTATTTTTATAGTATGAATAACTAATTTTCATATGATTGAAAACAATGTAGTGGACTTGTGATCCTTTACTTTCTATTCAAAATTTATGTGATTTATTCTTATATGTGTTGGTTTTACTATGAATTTAATGCATAGAATTAATTGATCACTAATTTGCTAATTATTTGGGTCTCTTACGAATCGAGATGTGAGTTTAAAATTTAGACCGTCTAATAAAATTTGGTTAATTAGTATAATGTGTAGAGATACATATACTAATTATTGCAGTCATAATATAAATTCTTAGAACTTGTATTTCATTTATTTAAGATCGATTCACATAGAGATATGAAATTGAATTAATTAAATAGGTTCAATGAGAATTGAGAGACATAAATTGAGTCCTTGCCTATCACAGATTTTTTAACCAAAAAAATTGATTTGTATACCGTTACTTTTTAAAAAATGCAGCCATTGTTGACTATCTTAGACACAGGTAGGACCCACCATTTGAAAAAAAGGGCCATTTTTCAGCTTAAAATCTGCTGGAAATCGGTAACATACATGCCCTGAATATAATAAAATAATTTGATCGAACACTATATTAGGTTATGAATCTTGAATTAAGAATTAAAGTAATCAATATATGAAATTGTTATACCCTAATATTTATCACATATTTGAATCTTCAATCAACCGTTGTTTGCAATCTTTTTATATTTTCAATTAGTTAAAAATAGTTAGGAAAAATAATCGCGGCCATCATAATAATTTACTTGCTTTTATCAAATATGGGTTACAAAAATTTGATTAAATCCAGAAGTACAGTTTTCGTAGGAATGATATCCGAACTCAAATATCCACTATACTTATTGGAAAAATGTGTGGTCGAAAATAAGAGAAAGAAAAATATATTTTGAAAATAATGAGGATCAAACAAGGGTTTAGGTCTCATTTGGCATGACTTTTCCTTTTACTTCTTGTAGAAGAATTTTTAGAAGAATCTACTTTAATTTTTGTTTGAACATAAATTTTTAAAAGAATTTCTTATTCCAAAAGTAATTTTAGAGAAAGTCATATTGGACTAACTTCTTGGAAAAACTCTTTTAATCGGTAAAAACACTTCTATAAAATTAACCAAACGGGGTTCAAAAGCAACTTTTCGATCTCAAATGGGCCCTTAATATATTTTATGCCGCTACTATCTTTTTCTGCATCAAATTTTAGGTAGAGAAATTTCGTCCAAATGCACTTTGCAATATTCGATGAAAAAGTATAAATTTTGGTTGCAAAAGTTTGGAATATTTAATGTCCAAGAATCACATTCCTTCCTAAATTCAAGCGATGCTTTCTTGCGACATTCCTTCAACTTGTATCAAAATAGCATATTAAAATCTAAATCAAAGTCAATAATTAATTTTAACTCCACATTTAATAGTTTCTACAATTTTCGACTACGCATTCCATCAATTTGTGTCAAAACTTTTTAAAAAGATGATTTTTATCCAAATAAAAGAGGTGTTGAACCTTTAATATTTTAGACGTTGACACGGAGAGAGACCTTCGTAAGAACATAAATTTGATTGTAGAGCAACACAAAAGTAGTGTCCTTGCCTAAGGTAGATGTTTTTTAAAAAATAAAAAAGCTAATAGAAGCTAATTAATGGTTTTCTATTTTATTGCTTCCTGTCGTCACCTTTTTATACAATTACGTACTGCAACTGTGACTTATTTCTTTCAGAATGATTGTAATAAAATTTATTCACTAATTTAGGGATTCTGAAATCTTAATTTTGATACTAATTATGTACTGTGAAATGTGATTTTCTTTCAGAATGATATAATAGTATTTACTCGCAAATTTAGAGACTTTGAAATCTTACAGAATGATATAATAATTATTTATTCACAAATTTAGAGATTTTGAAATCTTCATTCTTGCCCCACGTATGGGGCATTGTGTGTTTTCTTTCTTTTTTGGTTCTTTCATAAGATTCTCAGCAAGAACGTAAAATTCCTACTGTATTCTCCAAGTTGTAAATGTCTTTATTTTCAAGATTTTGGTACATTACCACGTAAAAAAGAACTTGTACAGTGACGAATACCATCTGTTTTTCTATATGTAACGTATAAGATTGTGTAATATATTATATCAATTTAAACTCCTTGTATTTTCTTCATTTTCCTAATTAATTATTAAATTCGTGTCAAATTTCCACTCCAACTGATTTTAATTTTTTCTAAGCATTACCTGTATTTTTTTCCTAATTTTAAACTACGCGTTTAAAAAAAAAAGTAAAAGAAAAAAAAGGGAAAGCAACTTGAGCTAGTTGTTAGATGACACAAGACTTAAGTGCCAAACTCCATTAAATTCTTACCATTATATGACCTCAACTCCAAGACTTGAGCTAGTTTTTGACCGGTTTAATTTGGTTCAAAATCATTTCGTTAACGGATCCACGTGGCACCAAACTAATAGTTTCTAAAATGCGGTTTCGATTTGATTTTTTGATTTGGCGATTTTTGCTTACAGCCCTAGTATTTAGTCGCAAATTTAGAGACTTGGAAATCTTACAGAATGATATAATAATTATTTATTCACAAATTTAGAGATTTTGAAATCTTAATTCTTGCCCCAAGTATGGGGCATTGTGTTTTTTTCTTTCTTTTTTGGTTCTTTTCAAAGATTCACACCAAGAACGTAAAATTCCTACCGTATTCTTCAAGTTGCAAATGTCTTTATTTCCGAGATTTTGATACATTAACACGTAAGAAAGAACTTGTACCGTGACGAGTACTATACGTAAAGTATAAGATTGTGTAATATATTATATCCTTTAAAACTCCTTGTATTTTCTTCATTTTTCTAATTAATTATTAAATTCGTGTCAAATTTCCACTCCAACTGATTTTAACTTTTTCTAAGCATTACCTATAACTTCTTCCTAATTTTAAACTACACATTTAAAAAAAAAAAGTAAGAGAAAAAAGGGAAAACAACTTGAGCTAGTTGTTAGATGACACGAGAAAGTGCCAAACTCCATTAAATTCTTACTATTATATGACCTCAACTCCAATACATACAGCAGGTGCAGGAATCATCCCATTAATTCCCATGCAACCTCCCAACATATACTTTATCCATTTTTCTTGAAACTTCTAACAGTCAGAGTCTTTATATATTTTCCTTTTTGGGTCATTAGTCAATTCTAATTTACTCTGCACATTTTCTTCTTTCCTGTTTTGGCATCAAATTCTAGGTTTGAGAGATTTTCAGAAATGCGGTCTTCGCAATATTCAACAGAAATCTGCATCTTTTGCTGCGAAGTTTGGAATATCAAATGTTGGTGAAACCTTAATCACATTCCTTCCTTCAAAATTCTAACGATCTTATCCTTTTAACTTGATGACGTTTCAAGAAATCAAATATATTACAGCAGTCAAAAGTGAGTTGAGAATAATAAATAAAAAACAAATCTATGTTAAATGCTAAATTTCGTTGACTTCATTTTCAAGGAACTTTTATTAAATTATCTAACTATTGTTCATCGTATAATTGGAAAAAACCCACAACGTAAGCCAACAAAATCTGGCGAAAAGACAGAATTAAGTTTAAAAAAAGGGAAAACATGAAAAGCATAACTTATCTAATAAATTCTTTTACGTTACGGGAGAGGGAAGAATCAATTCACTATAAAAATAGCCGTCCTTATAATTGGTGTGGATGTTTATGTTGCCAAATATTGTCAAGTCTATTTAACGTTGTGTATCGAACGAGCAATAAAAGTTATGCAACAAACGCACTCAACTCAAAAGAAAAAGTTTTAAAAAAAAACCTTTAAAATCACGTGGAAATGCATTAATTCTATAGGCACAAAAACAACAGTTATGCGGCAGCAATCTTGTGTTCACATAGAATTAGGTAATTTAGGTTCACATAGAAAATATTCCTTCATTTTCGAGCAATCATATCTTGCTTATTTTCCAAGAATTAAATTGTCATCAATACGTATCTTTACAGTTGAACAAACTCGTCGAAATCTGTTCTTCAACACGTCCACTGGAAACATCCTGGAAATACACTTGACGCGGCAACAGAAGTATTTATAGACAAGAATGTTTATTGACAAACTCCAACGCAAACATTGCAATTTCATTCATATTACTGTAAGTCGAGTTTATACACTTGTGGATTTCAGATTGTTAGAAATTTTTCTGTCTTTTGATTTGCAATTGTTTGTTGTCCATTTTACTGAATTCTAGAGTTTTACTATTATCATGGCTGAAAATTTTCAAGATAACTTGCATTGCACGGATCTTGTTCACTATCTTCCAAACCACCTTGCTATCAGCTTGCTGAATAAAAAGAGATGGCATTTGGCCTTGGTAAAAATCAATTGTTCAAGGGCCTTGCTTTCTCTCCTCAATGAAATTCTTGCAAAACACAACAAGATTTCTATGTTGCCTGCATCTGCCCGTCTTCTCATCAGCATTGATCTTGCTATCAGCTTGCTGAATAAAAAGAGATGGCATTTGGCCTTTGTAAAAATCAATTGTTCACGGGCCTTGCTTTCTCTCCTCAATGAAATTCTTGCAAAACACAACAAGATTTCTATGTTGCCTGCATCTGCCAGTTTTCTCATCAGTATTGATCAACCACGCGAACATACCTGCTGTTTCTCCAGTGTTAATCAGACTATCCTCTCTAAGATTGTCAAAGAGAAAAATCATGATGAGCTTTTTAAACTTGGAGGTGCTAAACGTATCGCCGTTTCTCTCAAAACGGATGCGAATCATGGAATTGATGGAGCGACAGAAGACATATTTATCAGACAGAAGGAGTTTGGGAGTAATACTTACAGTAAGCCACCTACAATGGGATTCCTCCATTTTATATTGGAAGCTTTCAAGGATCCGACAATCCTAATTCTATTGGCTTGCGCTACGCTTTCTCTTGGATTCGGGATCAAAGAGAATGGTCCAAAAGAAGGTTGGTATGATGGTGGAAGCATATTTGTTGCTGTATTTCTTGTTATTTCTGTCTCAGCTATCAGCAACTTCAGGCAAAGCAGGCAATTCGACAAGCTTTCGAAGGTGAGCAATAATATCCTGATTGAAGTTGTGAGAAATGGAAGGAGGCAACAAATGTCGATATTTGACATTGTTGTTGGAGACATTGTTTGTCTGAAGATCGGCGATCAAGTACCTGCAGACGGATTATTTCTAGATGGGCACTCATTGCAAGTGGACGAATCTAGCATGACAGGTGAAAGTGATCACGTTGAAATCGATCGAGATAGAAATCCCTTCTTGTTCTCTGGCACAAAGGTAACTGATGGATATGCTAGAATGCTTATTACTTCAGTAGGAATGAACACAACTTGGGGAGTAGGCAATTTGACGAGCTTTCGAAGGTGAGCAATAATATCCTGATTGAAGTTGTGAGAAATGGAAGGAGGCAACAAATATCGATATTTGACATTGTTGTTGGAGACATTGTTTGTCTGAAGATCGGCGATCAAGTACCTGCAGACGGATTATTTCTAGATGGGCACTCCTTGCAAGTGGATGAATCTAGCATGACAGGTGAAAGTGATCATGTTGAAATCGATCAAGATAGAAATCCCTTCTTGTTCTCTGGCACAAAGGTAACTGATGGATATGCTAGAATGCTTATTACTTCTGTAGGAATGAACACAACTTGGGGAGAAATGATGAGCACAATTAGCAGAGACTCAAATGAGCAAACACCTCTTCAATCTCGATTAAACAAGCTGACTTCATCAATAGGTAAGGTTGGTTTAGCAGTAGCTTTCCTAGTACTTGTCGTGCTATTGGTTCGATTCTTTACAGGCAATACAACAGACGAAAATGGGAATAAAGAGTTCAATGGATTTGGTAAGACTAAGGTTGATGATGTGATCAGTGGTGTTCTGGGAATTATTGCTGCCGCAGTAACTATTGTAGTTGTTGCAATTCCCGAAGGACTGCCATTGGCAGTTACTCTGACTCTAGCTTATTCGATGAAAAGGATGATGTCCGACCAAGCTATGGTGCGAAGGCTCTCTGCATGTGAGACTATGGGATCTGCCACTACCATATGTACTGACAAAACAGGTACTCTTACTTTGAATCAAATGAAGACAACTAAGTTCTGGTTGGGGAAAGAATGCGTTGAAGGGAAAAGCTATATATCAATTCCAACCGGCGTTCTCGAATTGCTGCATCAAGGGGTCGGTCTCAACACAACAGGTAGTGTTTATGTGTCGACTGCATCAGTGTTTGAATTCTATGGTAGTCCCACTGAAAAGGCCATTCTTTCATGGGCTGTGCTTGAATTGAATATGGATTTGGAGAAGGTCAAGCGAAATTGTAGCATTGTGCACGTGGAAGCATTCAATTCAGAGAAGAAGAGAAGCGGAATTTTAATGAAGAAGAATGAAGATGACACGATTCACGCACACTGGAAAGGAGCTGCTGAAATGATCCTAGCAATGTGCTCTCATTACTATGATTTGGAAGGAAATGTGAATCATCTCAATAATTTCGAAAGGATGAAATTCGATCAAATAATACAAGGTATGGCTGCAAGTAGTCTTCGATGCATCGCATTTGCATATAAGCAAGTTTTAGAGGTCGAGCATGTCATTCCCAGTGGACGACCAAAAATTCAAGATCACGGATTGACCCTATTAGGCCTTGTCGGCCTAAAAGATCCATGTCGACCAGGTGTGAAGAAAGCCGTGGAAGATTTTCAACATGCAGGCGTATGTGTCAAAATGATCACTGGTGATAATATTTTCACTGCAAAAGCAATAGCCACCGAATGTGGAATACTCAGGCTGAATGAAGAAATGGATGATGGATTAGTGGTCGAAGGAGTTGAATTTCGCAACTATACAGAAGAGGAAAGAATGGAAAAAGTCGATAAAATCTGTGTGATGGCAAGATCATCTCCTTTTGACAAACTTCTAATGGTGCAATGTCTGAAAAAGAAAGGCCATGTTGTGGCAGTCACTGGCGATGGCACAAATGATGCACCCGCATTAAAGGAAGCTGATATAGGCCTTTCGATGGGAATTCAAGGTACGGAAGTGGCCAAAGAGAGTTCAGATATCATCATTTTGGACGATAATTTTGCTTCTCTCGCCACCGTTTTAAGATGGGGAAGATGTGTTTACAACAACATACAGAAATTCATCCAATTTCAACTCACAGTGAATGTAGCAGCACTTACAATCAACTTTGTAGCAGCAGTTTCAGCTGGTGAGGTGCCATTAACAGCAGTCCAGTTATTATGGGTGAATCTGATAATGGACACATTGGGGGCTCTAGCTCTTGCCACAGAGAAACCTACCATGGAGCTCATGGGAAAGCCACCCGTGGGCCGGACCGAGCCTCTTATCACCAATGTTATGTGGAGGAACTTATTAGCTCAAGCATTGTATCAGATAGTTGTTCTTTTGACATTACAGTTCAAAGGAGAATCAATCTTTGGTGTGAGCGAAAAGGTAAACGACACATTGATTTTTAACACTTTCGTGCTTTGTCAAGTGTTTAACGAGTTCAACGCGAGGAAGCTTGAGAAGAAGAATGTATTTGAAGGGATACACAGGAATAAGCTGTTTATTGGGATCATTGGAATAACTATAATTCTCCAAGTAGTAATGGTGGAATTTCTGAAGAAGTTTGCAGATACAGAGAGGTTGAATTGGAGTCAATGGGGGTTCTGTATAGGAATTTCAGCTGCATCTTGGCCTATTGGTTGGCTTATCAAGTGCATACCAGTACCAGGAAAACCAATATTTAGTTATGTCAATTGGAAGTTGTTGAGATGCATATAAATTACTCAGTACTGTTGTTTAATCTTTTATATTACATATTTGTAATTTGTTTTGGATGAAGGAAGCTATAGAATATTTCTTGGTTTTTAATTCTTCATGTGAGATATTTCCACAATTTGATTATTAAAATTGTTTGAACTTTTGGACTAGTGCCGAGGAAACATCATAAACATGATAAGAATTTTTAACATATACATTCCTACTAGGTACAACAATCTTATAACAAACAAGTTAAAAGCAATCGTATTCTACTTGGTACAACAATCTTAGAACTAAAGTTAAAAGCAATCGTATGAATGAAACCAGCCGAGTGTTCAAGAAAAAGCTGGATGATTGCAGCACATAGCCAAATATTTTCCTTGAGAGTAATATTGTCAAACATCAAAGGCGCATAACAAATGAAACTGCATTTTATGGAATTAAAAAGAGAATGCTGTGTTACCAAGGATTTTCCGCTGTTCTCTTGCAACATAATGCTGTAATAGACGAAAAAAATTCTTTGTGAACGATATCTTGAAACAAATTTGATGGGAACGATGTTGAACTTGAGGAGATTTGCATGCTAATTTTTGCATCGTTTCTTCGCAAGTATGTTGAAAAAGAAAACCGGGTGATTCAGATTCTTGGCGTTTTTTAATGTAACAGTATCAAGAAGTTGAAATTTGAAACGCCTGGCTGAACTGAAAAGTGGTCAATTTTTTTTACTATTTGATTGCCACCTTGCAGGCTAATTACGTCAACTGCTATAAGTACAGGGTTTTTAATTATTATACTAATGATCAATTGATTTAAAATATTAATTTTAAATGACTTATTACGTCAGTTAAAAAAATTGGGGAGTTAGGAATTGAAAATTTAATACATTAAGATTACGTCATTAGTTTTGGTCACTTTTCGACCTTTAATCGTATGGTAAACTTATTCTTGTTTTTTAATAATGACTTTTGCTAATTTGGCGTAATAAATAATGTTGTTTGCTAACGTATTGATACTACAGCATTACATAGTATTTAACGTTAATGTTTTTGGATCGAGTGTGACTTGTACCTATGATAGTTTTTCTAAAAATTGGAAATTGATGAGTGACTTGCTTGTGGGATTATTTCTCGCACCTATCATTAACAAGTATGACTTGCTCTTGGGAGAATTATGGGAATTTCTGCTACTGGGCCTCCAATGACCAAAAAGAGAGGAAACTTCCCATAAAGATATCATTGTACAATTGTCCGAAATTTTGGATCATAGACCAATCATCCAATTTGAGACAGCACTAACTAAAGAAGAAGAGCATGTGAAGAAGGAAGAGTTGGTCTTGAACGAGCAAAACGAGAAAGGAACATTCAACGAAGTTCAAACTCTCAAGCAATCTAACTTCAACAACTACTTTGAAGTGGATTTCATTGTTAAGGCTGATGAGGAAGTTAAAGATCTCGTTGTTGAGTTTTTCCTCTTGTATATATTTGTTTAAGAATATAAGCAAATTTGTTTTGAAATTTGAGAACACCAATTTTGGAATTCAATGTCTCGCTTGAGCTCCTAGACAGATCAAATTATTTGTTTGAGAACTGTTTGTGTGAATGATTTGAAAAAATACTTATTAAAATATTCAAGGGAAGGTCACCAGCATAATTCTTGAATGCATCTGCAAACCCAGCAAGTCTATCTATGTGAAACGTATTAAAAGTTGAAAAATCCATAAGAAACAAGACTCACCGTCACAAGTTGAAAAATCCATATTAAAAGTTTATATACAAGCGTGTGTAGAGAAGTTTATTTGACGTTTGGGCGGGGTGGGGGGGGAGGGGGGGTGAAAGTGTCCCCTGCCCTTTAAACCCTAAAAGATAATGATCTCGACTCCACTCACGTCAACAAGTATGACTTGTGCACACTTTAACAAATTGTTAGAAGCACATTCTCTTCTTCGGAGGTGGGGGAGTGGATTATCACCATGACGGTCAAGTCAATCAATTTGTGTATATATATATATATATATAAAATAAGAAATTCCGTTAAATTTTCCGTTAAAACAACAAATTTCGTTATATAGTCACTTTATATATATAGAAAAGATATATATTTGGGTGTGAGATAGATGGAGACGTGAGCCACGTTAGTGTACGGGTAATTATGAGTTTTTCAAATATATATTGCCTCATTATGTCCCCGTCCATTTGATATTTGTTTGGGTGTGAAGTTAGTAGTATACACAACACCAATCCAAGTATTCTTCTCAATATATTTAAGTCAGCTAAATGAACAATTTTTCTTCGCTGTATTTTGTTCATGGATACATTTTCTTCTCTGTATTTTTTCTCAAGTGTATTTGGGATGAATCACTATCTAGTACGTGAATCACTACCTTATTCTGCGCTTCCACAAAGAGAGAGAATAACATAGACTCAAAATCACCAAGTGTGGGCTTATTGGGCCTATTTTGGTGGTTCTCTTTAACACCTTTGGGCCAATTGTTTGACCCGGATTGTGTGCCTTATTTTGAATCCATATATTCACGTGGGTTATCTAGCTTTCACAAGACTCTTCCTTCTTCGAGAATACTCTCTTGACTGTGGTTCGCTTCTCTGCCTCGACGATTCCAGGCTGTCTTCTTCCCTTTCTTCCTTTTGGCCACATAAAACTGATCCTTAGCCCATTAATAGAAGAGATCCCTGTGTGTTCTTAGGCCTGAAAGAGTGGCTAAGGGTTGGGTCTTCTTGGGGGGCTAGGTCTGTGTTTTTGGACGGTTTTCTTGGCTGAAATTGGTAGACCATTGGTCGATGATCCAAGCCAAGTGGAAAGCACTCTTTACCGGTTCTTGTGCTCTCTCTGGACGGCGATTGCAAATGTGGGAGGCTATTCCTGAGCCTAAATCTCGACCAGTGCACAAGCAAGAGGAAGGAAGGGAAGTAGCGTTTTTCTGCCTTAGTTTCTCTTTTTCAGTCTAGTCATGGTTTCTTTATTCTATCGATTTATCCATGTTATGCTTAGGCTAGTTGAAGAATGGTGAATATTGATTTCAATATATATATATATGTTATTGTATGCTGGAGATTTTATCATATGCTGAATCTGTTGGCTGTTGAATTCGGTTATTGCTTCCGTAAGATGACATTGGTTGCTTGAGCCTTATGAACTCTATTATTGTTAGCCTTTGTTGATGTCTGAATATTGCTGTGATTTCCCAACACCAAGCGATCAAAAAAAATCAATGAATCAGAGAGATGAAGGAAAAAGGGAAAGACTAAGAGAGATGATTCCAGAACCCATAGACAGCAAAAATGATTAGGGTAAACCCACAAAGGCCATATTTATACATCCAACCATAACCTTAGATCTCATATGGTAATCAACGGTTCAGAACAGCTGCCGATTTCACACATTAGTGGCAAGTAAAGTTGCACTTCCTACGTGCGATTTAGACCATTTATAGGGCTTGGGTTTTCGGCTTCTTCAATGTGTTATCAGGCAATGGATATTAAAAAAAATCTGCAATTGGGCTAAGCCCAATTTCATCATTGCCCTTAATTTTGGATTGGATTGGCATCACAGCTCAACAAATTTCCATCTTAATAACAATTATCAAACCACTATTCCAATATCAATTTTTAACATTTGTAAACAAGATTTAAATTTGTTAAGAGGATATACCTTAGTTTCCATTGCATAATTGAATGACACTTTGACCATTAGAATAAACTACTATAGGATTGAAAAATTCATTTAACTCTCAAGCCATAAAGAATCTTTAATAGCTTCAGTAGTGGTCAAATATTTAGCTTCAGTGGTAGATAATACAACAATAGACTGTAGTTGTCACTTTCAACTTATATAAGTATCACATAAAGTAAACATATAAGAGGTAGTTGACTATTTATTATTCTTATCACCGGCATAGTCAAAATCCAATACCCCATTTTTCTTTGCAAGATTTAAAACACAATACTAAGTCAAAAGATCATTTTAAATACCTTAATAACCACTTTAACGCAATCCAATGCTCATGGCAAGGATTAGCCACAAACCTACTTAGTATACTAATGGTATGAGCTACATCAAGTCTAGTTACATAATAGATCCTACATCATTCGCATATGGAACTTTTTGCATGTATTTAACATCAAATTCATCAATGGGACATTGATCTTGCTATATTTGAAATGATAAGCAAGAGGCAAGGTAACAGACTCGGATTCACACATGACAAATTTATATGACACTTTTTCCACATGGGCAAATTGAATAAGAAATGAAATCTGCAGACTTATTTCTTTATTGTCAATACCTAAAGTTTTTCTAGCATGACTGAGTCCTTTATTTCAAATTCAAAACTTAAAGATCTTTTAATATCATTAATGTCACTTATATTTTATCCAATTAACAACATATCATCTACGTACAAAAGCACATAAACAATCACATATTTATCTTCATTCTTTTGAAGTAAAGGTAATGATCAAAATAATATCTATAAAGCCAACAGATGACACAAAATTATCAAATCTCTTGTACCATTACCTAGGAGATTGTTTTAGCACATATAAAGATCATTTTAACAAGTAAACATGTTTAGGTTTCTTATTATCAGTAAAACCACGTCGTTGACCCATATAGATGGTCCCATCCAAATCACCATATAAGAAGGTAGTTTTAACATTCATTTGTTCAAACTCCAAGTCATATTGTGCAACTAAAACAAGTATAACTCTTAGGGTCCGTTTGATAAGCAAAAGTGGAAAGGAATTTCAATTCCATATTAGTTGGAAAATAAAAATCCACCAAAGCCATAAAAATTTATTTTCCATAAAAACAAAGAAAATACATTTTTGCATGGGATTATGCTAGGCGCATTCTTCAATTTAAAGAACAAGATGCCATAGCAAATAAATGACCTGATCAAATTGAACACACCGTAAATTTGAGTTCATTCACCTGACAAATATTATAAAATGCAAGAACCAAGCAAATATATCAGAGGACACCCCATGTGTTATTACATAGAGCTA